AACTCAAATTAAATGCAAGTTCTTATTTCTTAGTTTCAATTTTGAATCTTGAAAGTCCAAATTATAACATGAAAAAGGAAAACTAGAGAAACAGGAAGGCTTTGTAAACTAACAATTACTTTTAGTTATAAAATATGAATAATAAAGCCTTTGCTATTTCATACTGTCTAAGATTTAATTCAAAGAAAACATATATTGAATATATTACACAACTACTTCAAACTTCAAGAAGCACTGCAGTGTGCAATTTTCACATTATTCCCAAGGAAAGATTAGGTATGAAATTGCCTGAAAAATATTGCATTATCTTGGAGAGCATGATGGATTACATAGAGCTCAGATCACCTGCCTTGGGATGCTAGAATCAGTAAACATCAATTATGATCATAACAATGATAAAAACAGTTCCAATCGTGGGCTATTATTAGCTAGACGCACAGAATGGAGGGCTGATGAACCCATCTCCCAAGATGCATTATTATAAAATGTTACATAACTTATTTCAGCTAACGCTATAGTTTATCTAAATCCTTTGTCTGCAACCAGACATGTAAAAATAGCACACTACTGAGATAGAAATAAACAAGAAATGAGATCCAAGAAGCAAAGGAGAGATGGAAAAGATTGGAAAGAAACAGCGTACAAGTGATGAATTGATTATTAAGTAGCCATCTTTAATGGACTCTTAAAGAGTATTGAGATAACAATATTGTCTGTCTGGAGCACGAAGGACATTGAGTGATTTCAAGTTGGGTGTTTAAGGCTGGTGTTAGTGTTTAATAAACACTAACACCAGCCTAAACACTGAAATGGAAATCAGCTGGTGTTAAGGTTTTGACCTCTGAATATCGTCAACTTCCGGTAGCTAGTGTTATCGATTTTGAAAAATTGTCGTCTGCTGAACCGACCTTTGTGGCTGGTGTAAATATTTTACGTACAAATGTCCTATTCATTAACACTAGCCCCTAGGGATTAAGCAAATGTTGATTTCCAGTTCGGTGTTAGTGTTGTACCCGCACACAGTCAACTCACGAACAACGCCAATTTATTGTCTGACGATCAAATAAAAATATGTGAAACAGGTAAATCACATATTCTTTTGTGTAAAATTAGCTATTTTATAAGACCAGAGAAATAGGTGTAAATTTATTCTGTACTTTTCATGATATCTTTAGTTTTGATGTACTATTTTTAAGTCATCGTCGTGAAATCAAGTATGTGGTGACGTCACGGCTGATGTTAAGCTATCGATTTTGATATCGGTATCGGGCTCTTAATTTCATCAGCAAATTTTCCGCTCGATTTAAGAGCTCTTGACTGCTCTAAACACTAACACTAACACTAACACCAAACTTGAAATCACTCATTGTCTCATAAACTTTAACCAAAATATAATGCCCTTATGGCTCTTAAAACTGAAAGACAAACTCTTTTTCTTCCTGCTTCCCTGTTGCTAGTGAATATAGCATGTTAATAGACCTGTTTCATCATAGATAGTGCAAGGATATCAAATATTCATGATTCCTGCAAAACAAGAAGTGGAAATTCTGTTGGTTTGATAAAAGATATTGGAGACTTATGCTTGCCTTAGAGAATTACAGGTACTCATAATAATTAATGACCTCTCATGCACTACATAATGATCATGTTAGGCTATATGAAAAGGTTTGCTTTATTTTGTATAGAGAAATCATTCTCATAATAATGATAATGATAATAAAAACACATCTATTGCACAAAATCTGTTTTTGATCCCTTGTAGCAAGTTCCTAGTAATTCCTTGGTGAGCCATCAGTTTTGCTGCATGCAAGATTTGCACAAACATTCATTGGTAAAACCCACCAAGTCTAGTATTCAAGATGATTAGGGATGCATTCCAAATGGAAATCTCAAGTGTAAGTCTTCAAAGAAAGATCTGATTAAAAGCTGCCTTATGTCTGTCATGAAGATCCTAGCTTCATGCTAATGCTGTGCTTTGGTGACAAGCTGCTATTAAAGCTTCGACCTCCTTCAACCTCAACGCCCACCACAGCCTTTCTGCTAAGCACATCTTGTTTTCATGAGAATGCTTAGGTTTCATGAAAGATGTGTTTAAAATTGGAGCTGGGGATAAGATTCTTAGGAGATTTGAAACATAATACAAGGTGGGAATAAAGAAGAACTAAATCTGTTTTTGCAAAGAAAGCTGGATTATCACTCAATCCAGATAATCACGAGGCAAAAAAAAAAAGAGTGTGAATCACACGGGTAAGAAACCTTTATTTAAAAACTCTGAAAAATATACAGCTTAAGTCAATCTGTAAAATGTAATTTTATGATGATTATGATAATGATGATGTTAGTGATGATGGTGATCATGATAAAGATGATGACGATGAAGATGATGATGATGATGTTGATGATGATGATGATGATGATGATGATGATGATGATGTTGGTGATGATGTTGGTGATGATGTTGATGATGAAGGTGATGATGATGATGATGATGATGTTGGTGATGGTGATGATGATGATGTTGATGAAGATGATGATGATGATGATGAAGGTGGTGATGATGATGATGATGTTGGTGATGATTATGATAATGATGATGTTGATGATGAAGGTGATGATATCGGAGATGATATCGTAGCTAGGAACAAGTAAGTCTTGAGGGCTGACATAAAGCTGACAAAGACTCAGCACTATCAATAATTTGTGGAAAGCTATCCCACATCTTAGGTCCAGAGAAATAGAATCCTCTGTCACCCAGAGCTGTGTGAGTGAGTGAGAGACAATACTTCACTGGGAGCTCATAGATGTAGGACTGGGATTTTACATCCATAGGTTCAAAATCATGAATACCTATCCAAACAAAACCAACTATAAGCTACAAATATGGATGTAATCAACAGGATACTAGAATGAATTATGTACTTTTCAAACTTGAAGCAACAAAAGAGGAGAGAATAAAGGCCCTGGACATAATGCAATAAATAGCCTAAACTGCTTCCTCTTGATGGTAAGAATCTAAAAGAAAACATAGCTGCACATAACATTGCGCCCTACAGCTAGGTACCCACTGGTCTGAATGGGAAAATCCACAAAGATTAGCTTATTTTCCTAGGCAGTTTACGAACTCAAGTCTAAGTGAGCATAAGATTTACTAGAAGATATAAGAACATCTACTAGGTCTCCTTTAAAAATTCTTTTAATATCCAGCACTAGCAAGGTGTTTAAAGCTTATCTGTACTAGTTTATAGGAGGGTTTAGACCACACTGCAAGATCACTGAACAGGTGGCTATCTCATCAACTCAGCTGTCAATTAACATAAGAAAAAGAGAATCATGGGGAACCAATGGTCACCGATTGGGCATTTTTTTCTATATAGAGGTAGCAAGTAGCTACAAGTAGGACAGTGTGGCTTTAAAGCACAAAATACCTCAATTTTCTGGTAATTTGACTGTTCAAAATTCCACGCTGCCATGCACATTTCCTCAATCTCTCTGCATGTGTCTCCTATAATGCTTCATGCAATGGATAAGAAACAGACCACAAGGTTGGATGGCAGTGTGAAGGATGATGAACAGTTCATCATGATTGAGGCAAGGGTGCTTGTTTCAGCTGGAAATGACACCTGCCAACCAATTTCTGCCAAACGAGGGCTAGGCGACGTCGTCTTCTTGTTGCTAGGCAACCCATTCATGTGCTAGGTTTCATGTTGAGGAGAGGTAATTGGAAGAGCGCTTCATATCAAGCGTGGATTTCAGATCAAGAGGCCTCTCAGCATCGGCTGGTATCCAGAGAATAGGGTAATTTTATTCCAAAGAGCATTTTGGAGTTTGATAGGATGTACATGTACGTGCAGGCATCAAATTCAATTTTACAGTCTGCATTCAAAAGCGCCATGAACAACCAAATGTAATTTGTGAGCAGACAAAGAAATTGAGCATTTTAGAGGTGACACAAGTGAAAAGAAGACCGAAGCTGAAAGGTTCTAGCCTCTGAAGACCTTTAGCATGGCATCATCTTTATTCCATCTTCTCTCCATCCAAGTGAAAAATGAGTACAGACATACTGTAGTAGGCAAGGAACATCACTGAGGTTGGATTAATATGTGTGTGGCTTTAAAGCCCGACTGCAGTACTTATAGCTACTTGCGCCCTCTATATAGCAAACAATGCCTAATAGGTGCCTGTTGCTCCCCCATGAACCTCTTTTTCTTATGTTAATTGAGAGTCGATTTGATGAGATAACCACCTGTCAGTAACCTTGCAGGGAGGTCTAATCCCCCTGGCCAACTAGTACAGACAGGCTTTAAGATGACAACTGGCTGGAATTCTCCCACATGGACAATAACTCCAAAATCAAAATAAAGATAGTACAATCGTTATTGTCACTATCATTTCAAAACAAACGTAGCTTATTTTTACACTAAGAGAAGGCAAACAATGTCCACCCAGAGAACCCAGTAGTAAACAAATATTGACTGCTTTGAGGGGAACTATTGCCCAAGGTGATCTAGAAACTGCGCTATGACTCGAGACTAAGTGGAGGAGCAAAGTACAGTCTGGAGTTCACCCAGGACCTATTAGCTGAAACCATGACCAGAAAATAAGCAGTTGATATTTGTGTTATATACTGCATCCCTCAAGGCAATTCTCAAAAAGAGACACGCTAAAAAAATATGCCTGTTAAATATGCATTTATTTGTAAGCAGTGTGCAATTACCTGGCTATGTGCATCGCACGAGTCTCACTACGTGTATCCATGCACTCTTAAATTCACACACAACCATTGTGTCCTGGCATTGTAATAATTTTCGCTGTACTGCCCAGCAGTCAATAGTTAATTTGAAGCCTGCAGCTTTGACCAATCATAGGCCAGGAATCTTTACATGCAGTATGTTCAGAGCCAGAAGGGTGTTAACTCTGTATTAAGGTACACAAGCTAATGCCCTTCTGGCTCCAAACAGACGATTAACTAACATTGAAAGATGCATTTGATAGCTACTCACCGTCTGGTCTTGCATGGGCTTCCACTGATTGGATGATGGTACTAGAATTCTCTTTGGCAATGACATCTCCCTTTAATGAATCTTCGACAGTAAATCTGTAGAGAGTAAGGGTGATCCAGGGAAAAAATTACTTTAAAAATTTGGGGGCTACTTTTCAAGCTTGCTTGCATGAAAATAACACTCTTTAATTTGTTTTGCATTGAACTCTATGCAAAATTTGGGGGCTCTTTTAAGACTTTTGGGGGCTCTTTTGGGCATTTTGGGGGCTACTTTGCCCTGAGCCCCTGTGTATTTTTTTCCCTGGGGTGATCACACAAAGATTAAATGTATGCTGTCAAATTATATAAGATTCTGAGGGAAAAGGCTATACAGAATCAAGTTTAAGCAGCACATATCAAAAAATATAAGAAATCAAAGATATTTTGGAAACAAATCTTTTAAGAAATTACTGAGACCTTACCAGAACTATTACTGGGCTTGTACCGGTAGTTTATTCTCAAGATAAACTTGTATGCTTGTATTGTCCCTCTACCAGTCGGTTCTCCCCCCCCCCCCCCCCCCTCCCCCCTTCATTTTAAGTCCCAATTCAATGGAAATTCACTGTCTTCTGAGGTCATTGCCTACTGGTACCGGGTGGTTCCTGTATTCAGTTTATAGGGAATGGGAAAATTCAGTAGCCAAAAGATTAAAGACAAGTCAACAGTTCATAAAAGCATAGGCTTCCTTTAAATCTTACACCCAACAGCCACAAAGGGACTGTTATAAAGTTGTTGATTTTTCCTTCTTGTCTGGGCATTTCTTGGGAATTGTGCCTCTGGATGGAGTCGACTGATCGGTCGTTTGTACTGTACCTGATTTGATATCTATGATCCGTCTGAAGGAATCCTACATTGACATCGATGGAGCTATCAATCTCTCTTGAGATAAGGATCTCAGAATGATCTGTGACATCCTCTGGAAAGTGGACCTTTGAGCGAGATCTTGGTCTCATCTTCACCTGGCTTGTTGTCTGTTCTGAAAATTTTAAAAGAAGAAGAGGAGATATTCTTGAGCAAGGAGGCGGTGCATTTGGTGTTCATGGAGTTATTATCATTAAGAAGAATCAAGATTATTATCACTTGTTGAGATCCAGAAGAACATTAAATCACAGCTAACACCCTTCTGTTTATAAGCAGACAACAGAGCCAGGGGCAGAAGGAAACCTATCCAGGCATCTGTCTTTGTGTTCCGGAAATGGAGTGGATCTTAATATCTTCGTCACATCGCAGCTACTGACAAATGTGACAACCTGTTTAGTTACTCTTTAAAACTGACTTTTCAACAAAACTCTGACTGTAGAATGGGGGGGGGGGGGTGGGTATGTCAAAATTACCTATTATACATTAAAATTACAGAAGGTATGAATATGAATTATGAATAAAACAAGATATCATGAACACAAGAAGAATTACCTTCTACGTACCCTTGTAGGTGAGGAGGTAGCAGCCATGGTTCACTTTTAATGAGGGCATGTATTTGTTCTCAAAACACTATCATCATCACTTCATTGGACTCTACACATTGAGCCACAGGCAAGACAAGCAATTATCTCTGTCTTTCCTTTGTCTTTCCTTTTTCTCATCATTCAATTCGTCATTACCAGAGGCAAAGAGAGAAATATCTTTGTTAATCTAATAGTCATAAAAGCTTTTGCTCGGAGCTGTTGTGCAGATAGCTGAAGTGGCGGCATATCCAGTATAGATTTCATTCATTTTCGCAAAAGCTCCTGTAATGTTTTTCTTAATAGCATTTTCTGTGTCTCTTTAGAACATCCAATGTTGGTTAACTTGATATTACAGTCTTGTAAATGGTTGACCACTCCTCTGTATTTGTTATGTTTATTACACTTGACTGCCACAAAAGGAAACTCCATGCTTGTAATTAAGCACCAAGAAAAACAAACTATTATCATCAAATTAAATCTAAATGACGGGGGCGGGGGTAAAGCAGGATTTATGATCGGACCATGCCGGTATACTTTGGAAGACAATACTATAAATAAAAGTCAATAGAGCAGCAAATAACTATTATCTAAGCTAACACTTTCTGTGGGCCAGGAAAGATTGCCTCCCCCACAGAGTCAGACTAGGGAATCCCCCATATCTATTAGCATCATGCCATGAATTCAAAATGAAAAGAACATGAAATATAGGAGGCCCATCACACAATAAGAAATACAAAAACCCACATCATGAACAATAACATGTCTCCTACACTGCTCTCATACAATAGGCCTCTCTGCATTTTTATGTACCGCTTTGTGAAAAGAAAAAATATTGAAAAGCTGTAAGACAGTATTCAGACATCACGTACAGTACATCAGTGTGTGCCCAGTAGAAGGGCATGACAATAATCTTTTTTGTAATTTTTGTTATACATTATTATTATCAATAATATCTATGATAACTTCCTGTGGGCCAGGAAACATTGTCTCCCCCAGAGTCAGACTAGGGAATTCCCCCTCATGTCTACTAGCACCATGACATATATATTCACAATGAAAGGAATATAAATTATAGAAGGCCCTATTTATAAATTAATCATAATAACAACTGTAATAACAATAACATGTCCCCCAAAAAGCTCTCTAACAATAGGCCTCTCTGGATTGATATGTACTGCCTCATGAAAAACAAATTAACGAGCTGTAGGAAAGTATTCAGACATCACGTACATCAGTGTGGGCCCGGTAGAATGTCATGACCATAAGTTAAAGGTACGTACTATGTCCCATTTGCAGGCCCAAAAAATGAAAATGTTAAATTCCACGGCATTTGAAAGATAATACTAATTTAGAACTTCCCTAAAAAAGGGGGGCTTGAAAATGTCTTTAAAAGTGGGAAAATTACGACTATTAGTTGCAAAATCGACTTAAGAGCTATAGAGCCAGTAAGTAATAGTCTGATTTGCAGACCATTGTACCAAATGGTTGTACGTTTTATGCTGTGCAAAGATTCAATCACTTTAATTTTGGCCATTACAAGAAGTTGATTATTGATGTAGTCAAATACTCATGTACCCTTTACAGCTCATTTTATGTAAGTTAATACCTAAGAAATAAAAAAGCCAGTCAGTCACTCAATAGTGTCTGACAGTGAAGTCTAGTAAGTAAACAGGTTTCCTTGCATAATTTGAATAGTAGGACACTGCTAATTTTAAATTTCACAGATAGGACATACATGACATGTTCATAATTCCTGCATAGTTCTTCAGAATTTGATGTTGGCTGCAAAAGGGACATAGTATCTTTAAGTTAATCTGTGTATAATTATATGAGTTAACACCTAATATCACCATTAAGCTTCTGCTTCAATATGCAGTAGTGACTATCATTCACAGGGCAGCAGAACTGGACATGTTCATAAGCTACTAATGATAACTAACACCTATCTACCATAGATGTAAATGTACTTAACCATGACTTTACAATCTACATCACTGAATCAGTGATACACATTTCCTTTATAGTAGTAATCATATCAATGTAGAGTTCATGTTCATCATTCCACACAGAATTAGATAAACTCAACTGGTATCAAAAAGCTTTAGCCAATGACTATTTCATGAGAAATAGGTTGGAATTGAGTATATCCCACACAGTCATGTAGACAACCTTTATATCAGTGAGCTATAGAAGATGACTTTCAACAAATCTAATACAATTAAGAACGAAGAGGAGTTGGGGTGACAGAGCTTTTATAGCTGCTGCACCCTACCCCATTCAATCAAAATGTCAGCCAATCAAAATTTGTTCAATAAAAAAATAGGAAAACATATCTAATATCTGAATTCCTTAGTTAAGATGTAGTGTATTTCACAATCTGATGTAATTAAGGTTGTTTGATTATATTTCATTATGTTAAATTATTTTTGTTCTTTGTAACTTCTCATGTATTTTCTTATGTTTAATGTATTTACCTTGTTAGGTGCCTTGAGCATCTCTTGGGGTGGATATGTGCGCATTATAAATGTTATTATTATTATTATCTTCCAACCATCTAGTACATGTACTACTTTGCTGTAACTGTTACATCTGAAGTGGGATAGCGTTGACTATCTCCCAACTGTCTAGTACCATTAAGCTATTTAATATGTGAAGTGGGCCATGCATGCAGTGTTGACAATCTCCCACACATCTAGACATGCCCCGGAGCTAAACGTGTCAACCACTGGATAAATGAAGAATGGGAGAGTGAGAAGCATATCGGGTATAGCTCCGTAGGTCACACACCCTCTAGCAACGCACTGGTTGATACATTCATTCGGGCCACATACGCTTCCTTGCATCTGTTTTAATGTTAAGCTAAAATGCAGATTGAGGTATTATCAATTTATCATACTTGCGCTCATTAAAACCGACGGATGATTTATTGTTGAGTTTACATTCATGGATCAAACCTCCAAAGTGCTTGGTAAATAGGTAGATTCTATAACCTAAGCAACCACAAGGAGGAGTAAACAAATAAAATAATCTTACATTGGAATTCTGATATTTTTTAAGATGAATCATATAGAACTTTACACTGTTGACGATATTCTTGGTTCTTTTTGAGATTCTTATATTCGTTTACAAACATTATTCTTAAATACCTACAAAAAATGAAACTGTATATTCAACTTATTTGTATCACTTCTAAATAGGGCATGGATATCATACAAGGACTCTGTATCCAGATAAATGAGAGAAGTTATACTGGTTTTCTCCCAGACAAATAAGATGTCCTTCATCCAACCAAAAGGCCTCGAGTATAAACTTCTTTTTAATTAATATCAACCATAATAATAAAACAATCTTGTATCTAGAGCATATTACATCATCCTTATGCACTTCTAAAACAGTTTAGATATTACTACCCTAGCTTTAGTTCCAGCATCATTATGAGTACATAGTGCATTTCAAGGAATACATACTGCCAATTGAAACCTGGGTGAAGAGAGTCAATTGTACATAAAATACCTTGTCTACGGACACAGGCATTGGGCAGAGATTTGAACCCTCCACATTTTAGAATAAAAACAGATTGGATATTACTTGTTTTAGTTCTATGGCATCATTATGAGTGCATAGTGCATTACCTGGGTGAAGAGAGTCAACTGCACATAAAATGCCTTGTCAACAGACACAAGCATTGAGCAGAGATTTGAACCCTCAATGTTTGAGAATAAAGTGAATGGATCTGTGCTCCCAAATCTGGCATAGGAAGGGATAAGCACAGATATCTTATACCAACAGTTCATCTGCATTCCATTGCATCAGGGAGGTGCATGGCCAGAGACTGCATCTTCCTCTCCTATCAACTCCTGCAGAGCAATCAGAACTATGGTAAGCCGGATGGCTATCCATACCATGGTCAGTGAATTAAATGAGAAAACAGATTTTAATCAGGGAGCTCCACTCATGCAGCTCACCCTCATGAAATTGGAATAACTTCTGGGTTAGATTTCTCCCAGACATAAGCTGTTGTGGTGATGGAGGAGATTCTAATAGGGGTGTTTTCACTGAATTATGCTCCACCAATCTAGCTTCGGAGGTAGTGAATTTGAATTTGCATGAGCAAAAAGGAAAAATACTGTTTGACAAATAACATGTTGTGAGCAAAAGTCAGGAAATCATGAATAAAACATTCATATTAAGCAAACAGCAACACCAGATAATCAGACAATGAATGATAAGCCTTTACAGGGATTAAGGTCAAAACATTACACATATGCATTCTCTTGTATTTCTTGAACAACATCCTTTTTTATTTTTTATTTTTTTTATTATAGTTTTATTTTAACAGGGTGGTCTCATTCAAGTTCATTTCTGAGCCTGCTCTCCCAGAGAGCCCTGTATTCACATAAAAAACATGTACAATAATAACATGAATTCAAAACATACATACAAAGGTAAAATATACATGGTATATACAATAATTAAACATAGGTAACGAAAAACACGCATTAACAATAAATTATAAGGAAAAAAAATACAACTATCAAATTGAAAAAACTA